TCTTTTGGTTGGAGTCCTAGAAGAAAAGGAAAGGCAAAAAAGAAATGCCAGCCCAAAACATAAGAAAACTACACCTATGTATACATACAGTTAAACTGCTAAAAGTCAAAGAGGAAATCTTGAAAGCAGGAAGAGGAAAATGATACATACAGGGCAACAATGGAAAAAAAGTAATGGTTATTCAACAACATTGTAGAATACAAAATAAACAGACAAAAATCAATTGTAGCCAGGAACAGTGGTACGTGCGCCTGACCAGCTACTCAGGAGGCTAAAGCGAGAGGATTGTTTGGGCCCAGGAATTTGAATGCAGCCTGAGAGCAGCATAACAAGGCCCCAACTCTAAAATCAAATTTTTAAAAAATCAATTGTATTTCTATAAACTAGCAATGGACATATGGACATCAAATGTTTAAATATATTATTTACAGTCACTCAAAAAATGAAATAGTTACGTGGAAGTCTAATAAAACATGTATAGGACTTGTAACTGAAAATTATAAAACTAATTAAGAGAAAGAAGATATAAATAGACATACAATATTTATGGATTGGAAGACTCAACATAGTAATGATATTAATTCACCCCAAATTGATATATAAATTTATTCATTTCAAAATCCCAGTAAGATTTATTTGTAGATATACACAAAATGATCCTAAAATTTGTACAGAAAGGCAAAAGAACTAGAATAGCTAATATAATTTTGAAAAAGAACAATATGAGAAAAATTCGTCTACCTGATCATAAAATGTATTACATAGCTACAGTAATCAAGACTGTGGTAATGGCAGACATAGATCATCAGTGAAACAGAAAAGAGAACCCAGAAATACTAACACATGGCCAGGCACAGTGGCTCACGCCTGTAATCTCAGCACTTTGGGAGGCTGAGGTGGGTGGATCACCTGAGGTCAGGAGTTTGAGACCAGACTGACCAATATGGCAAAACCTCATCTCTACTAAAAATACAAAATTAGCCGGACATGGTGGTGTGTGCCTGTAGTCCCAGCTACTTGGGAGGCTGAGATAGGAGAATTGCTTGAACCAAGGAGGCCGAGGTTGCAGTAAACCGAGATGACACCACTGCATTCCCCACTGGGCGACAGAGCAAGACGGTGTCTCAAAAAAAATGACAAAAAAAAATACACAAATACACCCAGCTAATTTTTGACAAAGATATAAAAGCAGTTCAGTGAAGGAAAGAAAGCCTTTCACCAAATGGTGCTAGAGCAATTAGGCATCCATAGGTTAAAAACATGAATTTAAATCTGAGTTTTACTTACACCTTACATAAAATTAAAACAGATAATAGACTAAAATGTAAAACTATAAATGTAGTTTATAGTTTGAAAATGTAAAACTATAAAACTTTTTAGAAAAAAAAAGAAAAGAATCTTTGGAATTGGGCTAGGCAAAAAGTTCTTTACTTAGTACCAAAAGTGCAATCCATAAAAGGAAGAACTGATAAATTGGGCTTCATCAAAATTTAACCCTTTTGCTCTGTAAAAGACTGTTAAGAGGATCAAAAGACAAGCTACCAGCTGGGAGAAAATATTTGCAAACCACTTATTTGAGAAAGCTCTAGTGTCTAGAATAAAAAATGTTCAAAGCTTATGTTTAAAAAGAAAAAGTGCAGTCAGAAAATGAGCAAAAAAGGATGAACATTTTTATTGTAGAGGACATAAAAATGACACATAAGCACATGAAGTGGTGTTCAGTGGTGTTAGCCATTATGTACATGCCATTAAAACCACATGAGGTATCACTACACACCTATCAAAATAGCTGAAATAAAAATTAGTGACAACACCAAATACTAGTAAGGATGCTGAGCAACTGATCACTCGTACAGTGCTGGCATCCGGGTAGAATGGTACAGTCCCTCGGGAACACAGTTTAGGTCTTTATTTAAAAACGAAGCATACAGTTACCACACCCCAACAATTGCACTCCTGGGCGTTTATCCAAAAAAAATGAAGATTTGTGTTCACACAAAAAACTGTACTTGAATGTTTATAGCAACTTTATTCTTAGTAGCCCAAAACTAGAAATAAGTGAGATATCCTTCAATGGGTGAATGGTTAAACAAACTGTGGTACACTTGTGTCATGGAATACTACTTAGCAGGAAAAATGAACAAGCTATTGATACACACAACGACCTGGATGAATCTCTAGAAAATTATGCTGAGTGAAAAAATAATTCCCAAAGAATATATACTGTATTGTTCAAGTTATATATACATTTTTTTGCTGCCCCCGTCCTCCTCCAAGTTATAGATACATTTTTGAAATGACACAATTATAGAAATGGAGAACAGATTAGTAGTTGCCAGAGTTAAGGAGTTGGAGGTGGGAGGGAGGTAAACTGTACAGGTGCAGTCTGAAGGATCGTTGTAGTGATGGAAGTGTCCTGTATTGTGACTCTGTCAATGCCAGTATCCTGATTGTACTATAGTTTTGCAAGATGTTTCAGTTGGGGAAATCTGGGTAAAGTACATGGAATCTCTGTATCTTTTCTTAAAACTACTTATGAATCTACAATTATTTTGAAAAGTTTTAAAAAAGGAGTGGCTGACTTCCTACTAGAAACAGCAGAGACCAGAAAACAGTAGACTGACCTTTAAACCACAGTGACATTTTTTTAGCTGCTTCCCTTGTATACTGCCACCAAACCTCAGCCAAATGCATATGTTTTTCCATATTAGGAACTTTTAAATGACACGGGGCTAATAGCAAATAGAAAATTTCTTGTTGAGCTACCCTTGTTATAAAGAGGCAATAGTGATGATCATAGCAAAGTTGAAGATGGAAGGTGAACTAGTTCTATAGTACCTCATATTGTTGGGGGGGTTTTAAATTCCTTTTCACATTTCAGAAGGTTTAATATTGTTACCTTCTTAAATATATGATCATTTCTTTTTCATCTACAACTTATTTGATGAAGCAAAATTGGTTTAGAATTAATAGATTCTTAATACAATTGAAAGTAAAAGTGAATTGTTTACAACAAGGCCATGCTTATCTATGTGCAGCCAGCTTTCACTTCTAGTGATTTCACTTCTTCGTCTATTATGAGACCACAGCACAGTGTCAATCACCTTTACATATTCAATCGATTTCACTCCACAGCCAGTCATTAGTGTTTGTTGTATTATAGATGCTGAAAATAAGAACAATAGAACAGAGCTCTGTACCTCATCTCTCCCAACTGCCTCCTTTAATCCAGCATGTTAAGCTGAAATGAACTATTAAATGAGTGGAATAGAACCCTTGCCTTCTTTCTGTATGTGTTCTAGCTTTTTCAACTCTGAAAATGTAAAAACCTAGAATTACTAAACCTTAATCTTACAAGTCAGAATCTCCCCAGGTCTGAGCCTCTTCTTGGTTGTTTATTACATCTTCCCAAAATGGTGAGTGATAGGAGATGTATAGTTAGGAGAAAGGCAGGAAGAGCTAAAAGAGCTATGCTTCATTCACTCACTATCCAGGCAAAGGTCATTTTCAAAAGGAAACAGTAAAGTCAACATGGCTGACATTCTTTCTTGTTAATATCATTTTAGCTAGTGGCTCAAAGAATTTCACCCATAGAAATATCATTTGGTCTTTGGTATCATTGGTACTATTTGTATTAGTCCCAGGCATAAATACCAGTGCTGCTTCTTGCTCGTCACCATTTTTGTCTCTTGCCTCCCAAAAATATCCACCTTGAGTTATATTTTTCTTTGGTCCTGCTATTCTATTTTTATTAGACTCATTCTACTTTGGGAGGTCGAGGCGGGTGGATCACAAGGTCAGGAGATCGAGACCATGCTGGCCAACATGGTGAAAACCCATCTCTGAAAAAAAAAAAAAAATGCTCAGTGGGTTGGCAAATAGAATAAAAATAAAAAATTTTTAAAAAGACTCATCCTAGTTCATTTTATGCCTGTAGGCCTTGGCCCATTAAACCCTTTAAGTAATCATTTATGTACAAATGATATTTTTTTTTTTAACCTCACGGGGACCCTGTTAATACCTTTGTGGTGGGCTGGGACATGCCGGCAGCTACCACTGTGCTAGTCAGTCCTCCACAGACTGAGAGGCCTAGAGGAAGGAGTGATAGGTTTCCTGTTGATTTATTCAGCCACAGGACAGATTACAGAAGGTGAGGGTATTGGACTTAGAGACTAATATTTTAGAAGGGGACAAGTTTATGCAATTTTGCTATTTTTTTTCCTTTTATCTGCCTTTGAAAAAGAAAGTAGAAAACATATATTGAGTTCCTAACTGTGTAACTGGTCCCTTAGGTATGTTAGCTGTTTTATTTTGCCTTTCAATGGTAGCTGTAGTAATTAAAATATGCGTAGCACTTTGTAGTTGACAACATGAATTCATATTTATTATTTTATTTATCTTCACAACCATCCAGAGATGAGGAGATGAAAACTCTAAGACCTCCCAGCTTCCAAGTGGCAGAACCAGTCCTCAAATTTATTGCCTAGCCCAAACTCTATGCTTCTTCACCCAGGCCACATTGCTTCTAGTTGTAAGTAGTGGAAGAGTAGGACTCCAGGCCGGGCGCAGTGGCTCACGCCTGTAATCCCAGCACTTTGGGAGGCCCAGGCGGGTAGATCACCTGAGGTCGGGCGTTCAAGACCAGCCTGGCCAACATGGTGAAACTCCATCTCTACTAAAAATACAAAAAATTAGCTGGGCATGGTGGTGCATGCCTATAATCCCAGCTACTCAGGAGGCTGAAGCAGGAGAATTGCCTGAACCAGGGAGGCAGAAGTTGCAGTGAGCCAAGATCGACTGCACCATCTCACTCCAGCCTGGGCAACAAGAGCGAAACTCCTTCTCATAAAAAAAAAAAAAATGTAGGACTCCAGAATCAATATCCTTCCATGAACAGCTCAGTACATGAGAGAGGCAGTTGTGAGACTGGAAAGTGGATGGGACTGGACTGTGAGGGTCCATGCTTCCTTGCTGAGGTTTTATATTTTCTTTCATTTCAGGATGGCAATGGCACGGAGAACATTGTTCCAGAAGGGGGAGGTGTATAACAAACCATCAGGTTTCTGGGGAATGATAAAAAGTGTTGCCACTTCAGCACCAGGAAGTGAAAGTATCCTTTGTTCCTCTGCTTGATTCTTTTTTCAACTCTGGACCAAGAGCAAACGAAAAAAGTAGTATTGGGATAGTCCCTTCTAAGGTACCTGACTGCATCAGAGTCCAGACTCCTGAGAGCTAGGCTTAGGAAGTACCATGTGTACAGTCATCTTTCCAACACCCACACAAGATCATAAAATTATGTCTTTGAGCTGAAGCGGTCCTAAAATGTCAGTCTCTCCATTTTACAGTTGAGAAAATAGACCCCGAGAGATTAAGTCACACAGTGGTTTGTGGCAAAGCCAGGAACATAACTGTGGTCTCCTCTTCATAGTTCTTTCCGCTACACTATTACATTTCTCAACTCTGAAAAACCACCATAAAGCATAATGGCTACCTAAAATAAATGGCTTGTATATGGGATGGTAAAGGCCCATTATCTATCTATCTATTTATGGAGTTTTGCTCTTGTTGCCCAGGCTGGAGTGCAGTGGCACAATCTCGGCTCGACGCAACCTCAGCTCACTGCAACCTTTGCCTCCTGGGTTCAGGCGATTCTCCTGCCTCCTGCAGTGGCTGGGATTACAGGCATGCACCACCATGCCCGGCTAATTTTGTATTTTTAGTAGAGACGGGGTTTCTCCATGTTGGTCAGGCTGGTCTCAAACTCCTGACCTCAGGTGATCCGCCCGCTTCAGCCTCCCAAAGTGCTAGGATTATAGGCATGAGCCATGGCACAGGCCCATAAAAGCCAATTTCTAAAGTAATTAGCATTCCTAAACAAATTTTAATTAGCTGTCCTTCTCTAGTGACTCTTTGGTTTCAAGAATCAAGGAGAGGCTGGGTGCAGTGGCTCATCCCTGTAATCCCAGCACTTTGCAAGGCCAAGGTTGGCAGATCACCTGAGCCCAGGAGTTCAAGACCAGCTTGGGCAACATGGCAAAACACTATCTCTACAAAAAATACAAAAATTACCCAGGCCTACTGGCAGGTGCCTGCAGTCCCAACTACTCGGGAGGCAGAAGTGGGAGGATTGCTTGAACTTGGGAGGCTAAGGTTGCCGTGAGCCCAGATAACACCACCTCTGTTGCCTGGGCAACAGAGCTAGACCCTGTCTCAAAAGAAAAATAAATAAAAATCAAGGAGATTTGATTGAGAGACTACTAAATTGTTCGTTTCTGACTGGTTACGATGTTGAACTACTTGCCAAATTAGGTAACCACATTTCTGTGTAGCTCTGACACTGTTAGGTCAAAACTTTGGGGAACTAAGCATGAGGTAGCATACTCCTATTTGCTTCTCTGGCCCAGGGAAATACAAATTCCTTTTTTGCCTCAATTAGAGAACGATGTCTATTCTTGCTGTAAATTATGATTTATGTCCTGCTGTCAAATGAAAATAAGAATAAGATCAAAGAAAGGCAAGATGATTATGAAAGAGAAAGAAAAGGGATTGATTTAGATTTATTTAGTCAAGAAACATTTATTTCTTATCTATTTCCAGGCTGAGTGCTAAGGAATAAAATGATAATATAGCCTTTCTCCCCAAGGAGCTTACCCTCTAATCATGGGAGAGACAGGCATATAACTAAACCATGTTGTTTGGTGGCCTGAACCATGCCAATAATAGCCACTAAAGGAACTGAAGGGCACTTACTGATTGGGTAATAGTGGGAAAAATCACAGAAAGGAGGGAGGATTTGGATTGAATTATATGCTTTTATTTTAGAAGGGGCTATATTTACTGTTTTTATTACTTAAAAGTCCATAAAAGCCAATATACGGGTTTGAGCTGTGTTAGTGATGAGTCAACAAAGATATTAGGGTTATTTAACCTCCCTGAGCCCCTGTTTTCCAAGCAGGAAAGTATTAACTCTACCTGATTGAGTTCTTGGAAAATAACACAGTGTAATGGAAACAGCAGGATTCGGAGGAAAAAAGGATCTGGCTTTGTATCTCCACCAATTAACTGTGTGACTTTGAGCAAGTTATTTAACTCTCTGAGCTTCACTTTCCTTTTATGCAGAATGGATAACAGCTCTTTCATGGGATTGTTTTGAGAAGATAACGTTTGAAATGAAAATGTCTGTAAATCCTAGCCTGTATTAGAACACAGTATAAAGTATTCATTCCCTTTTATAGCATAGAAACATTATAGTTACTCAGATAATGTAGGAGAAAGCTGGCTTTATTGTAGATGTTACTATTATGTAACCATTTACAATCTTGAATGTAACATTTGGCTTAATCTAACTAGATAAATCAAAGAACAAATGAAACCATCTGTTTGAGCCGCCTGACTTAAGAGAAACTGAGGGGTAATTGTTTGGCGGTGATGCACTCGATGGAGAAGCTTTTACACACCTGTGTCAGAGGTGGGGCAAGTTGCCCTGAAGTAGCGCTGCTGACTGTGAAACAGGAAATTGAGAATACAGGCAATTCCTGGAGTCCACTATAGGAGAAACCAGAAGTATATGTTTTCTTATTGCCATTTCTTGAAATTCCTATGTGATTTAAACCTTGATGCCCATTCTGTGCCAGATCTTACTCTTATTCAACAGGAAGTGGATGCTTTGGAAGAACTAAGCAGGCAGCTTTTTCTGGAAACAGCTGATCTGTATGCTACCAAGGTACAGAGCAAGGAAACTGAAGTGTGGTTTTTACCAATATGATTAAAGAGAGAACAAGACTAAATGGCTTTTTAGGTTTTCTGTGGCCAAGCAAGAGACACCTCACAGCTCTAATATCAGCCATGAAGCATTAGGGATGAGGGATCTTCACTCTTCATGAAATTGCTCCTATCACTAGCAAAATCCTTAATGGAACACTCTCTGTAGTAGCATTTGTAGGGATAGTCAGAAGAAGCTTTTCAACACTTAGGAAGGTGACACATACCACCTCCTACTGACCTTGTATGAAGATGGTAGCTACTTTTATTCATTTATAAGTTAGTGATATAAGAGCAATAGACACCTATCTACCATGGATGGCCTAGCCCTATTTTAAAGGATCCAGATCAATAAGTGTCAAAACTGCAAGAAGTAACTTTCCTATGTACACCTAAAATAAACTATAATTTAAATATGTAAAATCTGTTAGTAAAGATTGCAAACTGTTTTAATTCTTTTTGAGGACAACTTTATAGGAGTAGCCATATAGGACAGAGGTTAACATAGGCTTTGGAAACAGACCTGAGCCTGCTCACCAGCTGTGTGAATTTCAGCAAGTTATTAACCTCTCAAAGCCTCAGTTTTTCTCATCTATAAAATTAAGATAATAGAACATATCTCATAAGAGTCTTTATGAAGATTAAGTGGATAATGCATGTAAGATGTTTATCCCAGTCCCTGGCTGAAAGTAAGCATCAGTAAATGTTGGTCGCAACTACTATTATTATTACAGTGTATGGTTTTTTTACTTAGCCTGAACAGTGATTCATAGAGGGAAGAATACTTGTGTTGAATATAAATTTATATTTTGCTGAGAACCATGTTTTGTGTTTGTTTTCCCCCAGGAGAGAATAGAATACTCCAAAACCTTCAAAGGGAAATATTTTAATTTTCTTGGTTACTTTTTCTCTATTTACTGTGTTTGGAAAATTTTCATGGTAAGTGTATTATTTTTAATTGTCAGAGTTTAGGTGTTTTTCCCTAGTAATGGCAGGGTAATAAGAGTGGATTTGACTGATACATTGAAATAAATTCCAAATGTGATTGAGTCAACAGAGAGCATGATCGTTCACATCTCTTGACTTCATTCTTTTTCCTCTCCCCTTTTTTAGATCATGTAGAAAAGGGAGGTTTCATTTTTCTTCTGTCAGAAATTGTTAATAAGGCCTTAGTTTATGAAATATCTAAATTGAAGCCGGAGCAGTGACTCATGCCTGTAATTCCAGCACCTTGGGAGGTCAAGGCAGGCAGATCATCTTAGGTCAGGAGTTCAAGACCACCCAAGCCAACATGGTGAAACCCTGTCTCTACTAAAAATAGAAAAATTAGCCAGATAAGGTGGTGGGCACCTGGAACCCCAGCTATTCGGGAGGCTGAGGCAGGAGAATCACTTGAACCCAAGAGGCGGAGGTTGCAGTGAGCCAAGATCATGCCACTGCACTGTAGCCTGGGGGACTGAGCAAGACTCCATCTCAACAAAAATAACCAATTAATTAATTAATTGAATGTGAACATTTCTTATTTTACATTCTGCTTTCTGTATTACTCATGAGTACATGACTGTATATAACCTCAACTTCTACCTTCAGCTCAGAAGTTACTTGTCCTTTTTAGTATATACCTATTAAGTTCACAGTAAATTCTAAAATGTATTTCCATGGATAAATTCATTTGCTGTACATATAGCTCTAATTCTTTTGTGGTTTTCTTTTATATCTTTTATGTACAGCATTTGACGTTACCTCTGATTCAGGTATTAATGGATTTCATTGTGATTACAGAAAAGGCCGATTTGGCTCTCTAGTTTGATGACTTACTAGGGTTGTATTTGTGCAAAGAGGAGCTTTGTCAGCTTGTTAGTTAATTTTGATCAATGTAGATGAATGAAAATTTTGGATATAAAGTATCTAGTGTTACAATACATTTATGTCAGTACTACTCAGATGACATTTTAAAATCTCCAATCAGTAAGAGCGAATGAATGAAGATAGTATGTTCAGTTAGTTAAGCTACTAAAAGGTAAAAGATATTTTCCTAAGATACCGCCTTTAGGGAAGCATGTCTTTTTTTTTTTTTTTTTTTTTTTTTTTTTTTTTTTTT